TATCTATCTATCTATCTATCTATCTATCTATCTATCATCTGTCTGTCTGTCTGTCTATTTCTTTATTTCCCCCACTGATTCTTTTGAGTGAGTAAATAATGACAGAGATTGTATTTTTGGATGAACTATCCATGGTAAACCATGGTAAAATCACTGTAAAAACAAATAAAAATAAAAGTTCAATGATGGACTTTATATATTTACATTATTAAAAAATACAGTTTAAGAATCTGTAAGTGTAGCTTCGGTAGTTTTAGAAGCTCACTAGAGGTGTTATTTTAGCAATATTTATATGCTTTTATATTATTTATTTATATTTTGAAGTAGCTTTTTTTCTATATTTTCAATTTAGTTTCATTTCAGTTTTAGTAATTTTGATATGTGACTGTCATTAGTTTTATGTTTTTCTATTTACCTTTATTTCTAAGTTTGTTTTAGTAATTTTAGTAATTCTACTTAAACTTATTTCAGTCAACATTTCTACATTTCTTAGAATTTTAAATTCAAGTTTTCATCTTATATAATTTTATTTCATCTTTGTTTCAGTTAAAAAAAAAAATTGTAATCATTTTAGTTGTAGTTAACAATACTGGTCTAAACGCATGGTAATAAAGAACAATTTCATTCACACCATCTTCTTTTAAGAGAAAATACTGTTTTGAGAGAGATTTGACGACTGAAGCTGATGGCAGGGAGCCGTCAAACTTAACCATCCTGCTCTATTACAAATGAGAGTGCTGTTTTCTTGAATTAGGCACACAGAGAGGAAGCGTCCTTCAGTCTGAGGAGGCGACTAGACAGACGTTCAGATGTCCTCCTGAGGGACTTCAGCCCCATTAGGGCTCAGATTGATATTGTTTGAGATGGCAGGAAATCTTTAAGTTTGCGTCTGTGCTTAGGTGGGCTATCAATCATGTTTTAGTCCCCTCAATTGAGCAAGTCTGACTTGGTAGAGGAAAACCAGAGAGGGGGGAAATGCATTGATAAGGAGGTCCATGGATCATCTAAACCTAAAGGGGACATTTTGGTGCTGGGGAAATCTCCATCTCTCTGACAGCTGGTCAATATTTACAGTGGGGAAACATTCAGTCACGTATGACTTTGCACTGGGAATTTTTACCGTGTATTTTATGAACCTCTGTTCTGTGTAACTGACAGACAACACAACTGGGCACCAAAGCTCATTAAAGGTTAATCTGGTTAGAGGAAATGAAAGAGCAGAGCTGTGCTTCTGAGAAACAGTCGAACACCTGCTTGCCTTTTGTTACCGCCATGTTTGTGCTGCTAATCTTTAAATAATATATATCCTTAAAGATGACACATATTCCAACTACATCACAACAGCAGAACCTGTCGTTGGTTATCATTTTATATCTTTTGAGCTGTTTGCCAGATTTCATCAGTGAAAAATAGGATAAAATAAACTACTTATTCAGCAAGAATGTATTAAATTGATCATAAATGACAGTAATGACTTTTATAATGCTAAAAATATCCTTTGAACTCCTGAAATTAAAAATTAAGCAGCACAACTGGTTTTATAATAAGTTAATCTTAAACATATAATTAAAAAAAATATATTTAAAAAATATAATTCATAATTAATATATAATGAAATAATATTAAATGAATTCTATAAAAAAATAGAAACCGTCGTTGGTTATCTTTTCATATTTTTTGAGCTGTTTGCCAGATTTCATCAGTGAAAAATAGGATAAAATAAACTTCTTATTCAGCAAGGATGTATTAAATTGATAATAAATGACAGTAAAGACTTTTATAATGCTAAAAACGTCCTTTGAACTCCTGAAATTAAAAATTGAGCAGCACAACTGTTTTTATAATAAGCTAATCTTAAAAATATAAATAATTAAAAAAATTATACAAAATAGAATTCATAATTAATATATAATTAAATAATATAAAATTAATTATAAAAAATAAAACAAATTGACATGAATGATTTCTGAAGTGTTATGTGATTCCAGGCTTATTATAGTTAACTATAACTAAAACCATTAAAAAAAAAATAATAATAATAATAATAATAAAAAATAAAATCTGTATAGACATGAAAAAAAATGGAAAAAAAAAACACACACAACACAATTACTAACTGAAACTAACTGCAATTAAAATGAAAACAGAAAGTATATAAAAAAATTTAAACTAACTCAAAATATTAATCAAAACTATAATAGTATCTCATTGCTACTAAAATAACACTGTATGACACTGAAGACTGGAATAATGGCTGATGAAAATTCAGCTTTGACATCACAGGAATAAATTACATTTTAAAATATATTCATATATTTTCAATTGTAATAATATTTCACAATATTACTGTTTTTACTGTATTTTTTTATCAAATAAATGAGTCTTGATGAGCATATGTTATATACAAAAACATTCATAAATGTTTGTAAGTAAGTGCAATAATAAATTGTATGATGCACTGTAAATTCAAATAGACCTGCATATGTGAAATCATCTAAACATTATTGGGCCCATTAGTGCAAGCAATTCATTATTACTCAAAGTTGTCTAATAGTTTCAACACGGATTACTTCTCGATATGCAGTACAAACTCAAAACACTTGTTTTGCCTTGATGGTTACATGAAAACCTGGAAATCAGGTTAAAAAAACAAAGATGGGCTGCATTAAACAGGCTCCAAGTGTTGCAACCCTCCTTAAACAGAAAGGCTGATGCATTGCAGTAATTAGGCAAATCCTTTGGCAATGATACACACACTCTTCCTCTTTTCCCTCTTCTCTCTTCAGGTGTCTGTGCGTGCAAATGAGCTGATAGGTTTAGAATGATGGCAGACGAATGAGGTCAGGCAGCGTGAGGCCGCTGGATCGAGGTGCGTTATCTTCAACAAACACATGTCTTTCAGTCCAATTACACTCCTGCTGCAAATGGAGCATCTGACTCCCCTACACACACACACCACATCGCTCTGTCACTCACCCAATGCCCACACGCATGCACACCTACAAACACACATGGACACATGCAGGCAGGAAATCATTAGCTTCCAAACAGGTGAAACGTTTTTTTTTGCAGAAATAGTAGGCATAGTAGTTAGTTATTATTGTGCTAAAGTTTTACTAATTTGTTTTACACAGCAAGTCATACGTTTTGTCTTCTTCTGCAGTAAAACTATTTAAATTTGCCTTGTTTTCTGAGAAAGCAGTGTAATGTCTCAAAATAAATTGATCTAATTTGCTATTCATGTTGCAATGCATCATGGGTATGTGTGGTTTCGTTCTTACCATCTTGCAGACGTGTAGTGCATTTAATGAACTGCTTTTGTGAAGCTTTATATATAGCTTTGTATTATATGATGTATTCCATGTCAATCAAGTCTTGCAACTACTTCTGAAGTATAAATGTAACAGTTCAGTGAGGTTTGTGTTGAGAACAAGAAAAAGGAATAGATCACCCAAAAATAAATATCTGCTGAAAATGTACTCACCTTTAGATGAGAGTTCGTTTTTAGAGTTTTTTTTTTTTTTTCGTCAAAACAGATTTGGGGGAATGTAGCATTACATCACTTGCTCACCAGTGGATCCTCTGCAGTGAATGGGTGCCGTCAGAATGAGAGTCCAAACAGCTGATAAAAACATCACAATAATCCACAAGTAGTCCACACCACTCCAGTCCATCAATTAATATTTTGTGAAGCAAAAGCCGCATGTTTGTAAGAAAAAAATATGTTTTTAATTTCAAACTGTTTCTTCTGGCTAAAATATGATTCCTCTATCCATAATATTGCATTCTGACGGCACCCATTCAGCGTCCATTGGTAAACAAGTCACAAAATTTAAAAAAAATGATCTTGGATGGCCTGATGATGAGTACATTTTCACCAAATGTTAATTTTTGGGTGAACTATTCCTTTAAAAGCTAGTTTTATGATAAACCATAAATATTACATCATATTTTTTCCTAATTATTCCTTTTTATATAAAACAAAATATAAATTATTAGTCATAGTGGGTTCTTTGAACCATTCAATGAAATGTATTAAATATAATGAAATGTGCTTCATATAATTTGAAAAACTAATGTCTATTTTGCATTTCAAACTGTGATTTTTAAATTTGCAAGTGGTTTATGCTTCAAACGTAATTTACATATATTGTTTCTCAAGTACATTTATTTAAGGATGTTTCGATATGGTACTAATTACATGCTAAGAAAATTAAGTAAGCTATGTTTTTTTAATGCTTCAGAATTTATTTATTTTTTTGTCCCCTGGAAGACAATAAAGCAAACAAAACCACCACCACCAAAAAAAACAAAAAATACAAAAATCCATAGTTTGACATAGAAGAAGGGATGACCGCATTTATGTCCAAGTTTAGACATAAAAATATCATAAAGTCTTGTTTAGAAGCTAGAACTGTTTTTACTTCAAGCTGAATGTTGAATTTTTAACAACTGCGCTGAAGTTGCTTTTGTTTGTGTGAGATATCAGTGCTGTAAAAACAAGATAATGGCTTCTTCTGGCCTTTGGTACTCTTTATAACAACACTGACAGCATATTGTTGCCCTGTTGGCCTTCTCCCTTACATCTCTCTCTCTCTCTCTAATGCTCATTTTCTAAGTTTCACTCCAGCCTAATGTTTACTAGCAGAAATATTGTTGTTGAAGACGTGGCCTCAGCAGAATATGCCGCCCATCAGCTCCACTTCCCTTCAATTCATCTAAATTGTCTCACAAACTCTCTGCTTGTGATCAGACAGAAGTCAGGCTTGCAGAAAGTTTTCGCGCCGCTGGTTTTCTCTCTCTTCACTTGTCTCTTTTTATTCTCTGTCCTGCCTGCAGTTCTCGGCTCCCTCCTCGCTGTCTTTTTCGGTCTCTTATTAGTGCGCCTTCTGTCTTTTACTACATCAACTTTTCATGATGGCGTTCCTCTGAGGTTTAGCCCAGCGCATGCTCTTTCTCAGGCCCATGCAGAATTGATGTGCAGGCGGGTCGGGCAGTCATTCGTCTCCAGCCCCGCTCTTTGATGTATCCGTCCGTTCTCAGCCCTCGGCTCAAAGGCACTTGAAATCGTGTTGTGTTATGGATTCCTGGCAGCGATTCCCATCATCAAATGTGGTAAAATTCACAAAAAAACTGTTTCGTTAGACATAAATCAGAACTGAGTGTTAGAATTTCAACAGAAACTGAACTTGCCTTCACCCTATAGAAACCCAGAGAATAAAGAAGTCCTAAAACACTGTTGGAAGACAAATGTCAGAAATTAAGAATTGGCTATAACAAGACAAGGTTATTTCAGGTATTTAAAAAAAAAAAAAACTAAAACTAAAACCATAAAAAATAAATAAACAAATAAATAAAAAACATTTTTGATACTGGTTATAAAATGAATGTTACACTCTAAAAAATGCTGGGTTAAATGTAACCCAGCATTTTTTAGTGTGTAACTGGAAAAAAAAAACAAGTAAAATAACTAAAACTTACTAAACTAAAATTAATAATTCAAAAATAAAAAAGCCTATATAAATAATAAAAACGGCAAAAACAATAAAAAATACTAAAAATGTAACTAAAATAAAGGTGAAAACAGAAATATAAAAATAAAATCAGCATTTTTGTAATCAAAAACATTAACTGAAACAAAAATAAAGTATAAAACAGCTGCAAAGGCAATATTTCTCATTTTATTTTAGTTATTAATTTAGTTATTAAATTAGTTATTAAAATGTTTTAAAATAAGTAAAACTGATATAAAAAATCTAATTTAAAAATAAACTTACAATGACAAAAACAACATAATTACTAAAACTTTGAAATTACAATGAAAATATAAAATATAAAAATAAAAACTGACTGAAAGCATTCATAAAAACTATAACACTATCTCAAAATGAAAAACATTGCTTCATTAATTTTTACTAAATTTGCAACATTTCACTAATTATTATGCAAGCATAATTTTTAACACATAAATGTCAACCACATTGTACACTGCAGAAAAAGTCTAATTCTTAACAAGTATTTTTGTCTCATTTTTGTATTTTTCAGGAAATATTTTCAAAATATCTAAACAAGGTGCATTTACTTGAGAAGCAACACTGCGTAAGACCCTCTACGTTGTGTGTACATGTTTAATAGTTGAATCATGTTGAAAAATGTACACTGTGACAAATAATTTTCAGAAGTTGAAATAAACATTACTAGTGTATGTTTTAGGGAAAAAAATACTATTTCAAAATTTCACATTTAATTCAATGTGTTACTTGCCATTTCTTTATAATATTTGTGAAATTTACTAGCAGTTTGAGTGAAATTTGTTTGAGTGAATCCTATTCTGTGTTTTATAAAGAACCGCAGTACATTTATTATTGTATGTGAATTTTCTTTCCATCCAAATTATAATTATAATTCAGCATCCTGTTTGCAACCTTAATTCAAGTTGAATTCAAATGCAACCTTTCTGAATGACACACCATCCTGTTTTTTGACAATAAGGATAGTTACAAAAGTGCATGCTGTAGAAACGGAGCGACAAGACGTGGGTGGATTCTGTGAGAGGATTTTGTAAGAAATGATTGTGACTTTCATCTCAGCTGACTTTGTCTGTTCTCCTGGAAACTCTGGTTTGCTTGATTCTGACGGTTCCTGGTTCAGTCCAAATGCTTTGTGACCTTGAATTGCTCCATTGTGCATATAATAAAAATAAAAAGCGAGACTGCCAGCAGAGGAATAGCTATACGCAGACAACAATGTTCCATCAATTAACTGCAGGTTTTGTTCATTTGAAGCAATGAAATTCTAATTAGTTTCTCATGTTGTATGTAAGTGTGCCAGGCTTCACTGAACTACCTAACACAGCTGGTGCAATGTAACAAATGTCTAGTGTAATTTGCTTGTCCTAACTGACTTTAATCAGAACATATTTGATTTTAATATACAGTTTTGGACCATTGAAATTGCAGCAGAAAGTACCACAATTATATGACATTTTTCATTTTTTCTGGTATTTTTATTTTATTTATCGCAGAAAAAAATGTTCAAAGCATTTTAATGCAAGATACATTTACTTGAAAAGCAACACTGCCTAAAATTTATAAATATTTTTTTTTATTTTAATTTGAATTGTTTTAATTTCTTAAGACATTTTAAATAAAAAATTAATTAAAAATACAATTCATGCTGAATAAGATTTTTTTTTTCTTCAGTGTGGGTTTGTTTAATGCTGTTTCTGTCATGACCCATACAATTAAAGTGAACTTATTAAATATAAGGAAATATACTATTTATAAATTCAATAAAAATTGGTATTAGTGACATTTCAAGCATGATACTGGAAAAAATATATATATATTGTGTTTATCATTACTTGTTTGATAGATACAATCATTTTTGCTTTATTTACAACTTCGAAAAATATTTTTACAGCGTACATTTAATTTTTCAACATGTTT